AAAAAAAAAGAAACGATCATTAACCTGCGTGCACTTTCGTGCCACATTTGGGGCAAAAATTGGCCATGGCATACTGGCCCAGACTTTCGCCACATGAGCTGCAAAAATTCGCCATTATCAAAAATGGCGGACTGCTACTAGAGAGAAGCCTGGGCTATAGGTACCAGTACTTTGATTTCCACGGAGGAGGCTCATTTCTACGGAGGAGGCTCATTTCTATGGAGGAGGCTCATTTCTACGGAGGAGGCGCATTTCTACGGAGGAGGTTCATTTCTACGGAGGAGGCCCATTTCTACGGAGGAGGCTCATTTCTACGGAGGAAGCGGATTTCTACAGAGGAGGCTCATTTCTAAGCAACAGGCTTACATTTGTATGGAAAACAAGAACAATTGCAAAGAGAAAGCGAGGTTTTAATTAGAAACGTGTTTGTATTACAGTGTGCAGCAGTGGCACCTGTGGGCCACCGTATTTTTGAGCCACGGACGTCAACAAGAATTGAACGTTTCACCAACCTCGTTCCCAGGGTCTCTTATCTTCCCGCCCCCTGGAGCGAGCGAGGAGAGACCCTGGTTTAGGCTGGTCACGTGTCTCTCAGATTTTGGGAGATTTCAAATTTGCGGTTTGAGGGAGGGGCAGATAAGTGGGATTTTCTCTCCACTTAGTCCACTGGCGAGCGTACCTTATAAGCAATCAAAACAAACTACACGTGAAGCCCTTCGAACCGAATGTCAACTGAGAATGTTCAGCAGACGCCCAAAAAGATCAGTAAATCTTCCACTACGGTAAATATCAATTGTTGCAGGCTTTGTAAATCCGTTGGAGACGTATCGTGCTCGAAGAACATCTATGCGAAAGGATATCGCGCATCGCTCGCCGCCGTCGAAGACATAATTTATGGCCGGCCGTTGAGACAAGAAAAAATTTTCCACATATATTATGTAGGCCTTGAAAAGACGCTTGAAAAATTTTATTTCTTTCAAAACGGTGATCAGTGAAAGTCAGAGTTTTATTGAAACGGTGAAGTGATGTACAGATCATAATCTGTTTCACGCACCCTAGCTATGATGCAAGGGAATCTGAGAGAAGCCTTCGCGGTCTAAATTTCGTAAAAGCACCAACACAAATGCAGTCTTTGGCTGGGAAAGAGGTAAACAACTTTATCTTCGATAGTGTTTTGCCAGATTTGTTTTTTGTTACGTCTCGACGGTCCCAGATACTTCTTTGCCGCTTCTGAGTTGCGAATATTTTTACGAAAGGTGACAAATTTCTTTCAGAATGACCTACCATCGATTGACTCAGCCGCTGTCAGATATGTTTGCGAAGATGTTGTCCATGACCAGGAATATTCGTACAGATTTTTTTTGTGCTCGTCTAACTGATCTCTCTTTTTCTAGTCCCTGTTTCCTTCAGAAGAGGAAAAATATACGCACTCGATTGCCCGTAACTGTTCGCTTTCCTTTGTTTACATAATTTAAAGTGCCAGTGTTCAAATCATTTAGTCACCAAAAAAACCTACGGCTGCCGGTGCTCGTTCTTATTTGATCTTTTATAAAGGTATTCAAAGGCGAACAACATAAACAACTGGACGAAATGACAAGGAAGGTACAGGTCGTTGATAGTGTAACTTCTCGAAGAAGAGTGAAGAAAGAAGGTGAAAAATCAAAGATTTACCGTATCCAGTCGGTAAAACGGCCACAACATCTCTGCCCGAATATATCGCGTCTAAACACTGGACTTGTTTGGGTTTTAAATTAAGGTTACAATACCAACTCCGAGATATAGCGACTTGAAGGCTGCTATAAAACGTGGTGACCTGATCATGACCAGCGATAGCGTCGATTTGAAGATGACAAAGGATATGAGGCAAAAATCGAGCAAACAAACGACGCGTCCCTAAGGAATTTTTTTGCTCTCTAAATACGTGACCAGCATAAACCAGGGTCTTTCCTCGCTCGCTCCATGAGGCGGGAAGATGAGAGACCCTGGGAACGAGGTTGACGTTTCACAATCTTTGGCAGTGTTTTCGCCAAAAATTACAAGCAAATAGTTTTTATAAGAGAAAAGGCAGTCAGCAATACAAGTTTAGCCGCTCAAAGACAGGGGAAAAAAAAAAGTATTGCGTCCAGTCGCTGTCCATGATCCAAGAACGTCTTTGCTTAAGCTCCCTGATTGTAGTGTTTCAGTTACGGAGTGAATACCAGAAAGCAGCGTGGCATAGTGGATAAATCCGGAGTTCCCAGGTTCATTTCCTGTTCTGACAACTATCTGAAGTCAATCTTGGTATTTCTTGGTTCAACCTCTCGGCTTCCCTTGTGAACGCAGAATTAACGATCACAATGTAAAGTTATTCCATCATCTATCTGAGTGTCAGCCTTAGTTATTGAAATGGCGCGGCCCACACAAGGAAAGAGAAAACTCCGACCAGGATGGGAATTGAACCAAAAGTCCTGAAGGGTCGCGATCAATTGAGCAATTTTAATTTTCTTTTCACCAAACTGGT